GAATCTGTTTCTCACAGTGGCCAGCCAGTTCCCATGGTGGGCCAACAAACAGGTCACAGAGGCCTAGGCCTTCCCCTGATATTGCCTCCCAACTCTGATATTCAGACATTTGCTGTCTCCATGTAGAGAGATTCCCTTCGCTCACCATCGGTCGTGGCTATTGATATACATCTCCTCCATCAATCTGTCTTCCCATCTACGTTCAGGACCATCACAACATTCACTGGCAGTAAATTCCACAATTTAATTACTCATTGAGTACTGTGCGACTGAACAACAACAACAACAAAGAAGTATGTCCTTTTGTCTGTCCTGAACCTACTGCTCATCAACTTCACAGGGTGCCCACAAGTTCCAGTGTTATGGAAGACGAAGAACGTGCTCTTCTCTATCCACTATCTCCACTCCAGTGCATAATTTTATAACATTCAATGCCCCTACTTAGTGACATTGGTTTTTCATACTGAAAAGTCCCAGACTTTTTAGCCTTTCCCCACAGGAAAGGTGCTCCAACCCGCTAATCATCTTAGTTGCCCTGAACCAATTGACTGCTCAATCTAAAAAATGAATGTTTTAACAACAGTCAAAGCTCAGAATGTGAAGTTTACCTCATAAACCTTAGACAAAATGTCAGGATGGGAGTTTATTCCCTTTCCCATATGTGAATTTATCTCCAGAGCTAGGGGGATTTCCAATAACAGTATTGTATTTCCACACTTTTGAGAACAGTAGCTTCATCTACTAATATAAAAACACTTTGGTCTTGCTAACTCACATATTGACATGGCTATCAAAATATCTGAGGATATTTCCATAGCAGATGAAATTTGACACATGGGTAGTCTGTTGCACCCTGACTACCACAAAATGTGGAATATGAAATTTGCTTCAACAGCAGCCAGCACAGAAGAGCCTGCAGATGGAAGATTATAAGAGCTCCCATCCAATGCTCCCTCTAAGCTGAGGAGTCCTGTGAGCAGAAATTCTACTTTGTGAGCTACTGACATTAAAGTTGTGAGCTAGCAATTTGGCTGTTGCATCAATTAGTTTGCTCTGGAGCCATCCTTCCTGAGCCAATACAAAAATGTGTGAGCCAGAGGCTAAAAAACTGTGAGCTAGCTCACACTAACTCAGCTTAGAGGGAACACTGCTCCCATCCTCTCACACATGCATGCAGACACACACCCAACCTAAGACTGAGTAAGACAGATTTCCAGAGGAAGCTAGGAACATACTTTTGGAAATAGAGCAAGTCTTTTTCCCTTTCTGCTTGTTGACAGTCCTTAAATTTAAATAGAATTTTCCGTGGCAGCCAGGAACATACCTCTGTGTTTACTAGATTATGTAAATAAAGACACTGCAGATGCACTTGCACAGGTGTTTGGGTTTGCACAGGTGCTAGGGTACTTCCTGGTAGGGTGGGACTTGATCTCTAAATTGGAAGTGAAGTTCTAGAATTACAACTGATCTCCAAACTACAGTTCCTCTGGAGAAAACGGCACCTTCAGAGGGTATGGCATATATTCTAGGTGAAATTATTCCCAGGAACTTCTCAGGCTGGAATTTGCAACCCTAGCTGAGCGTAGACCCTCAAAACTGACATATATGTAGCCCAAGAAACACATTTACTAAATTAATCCAGAAACAATACACTTGTACATCTCTCATTAAAGCAGGGGAATCCTTGAAACCGTTTACTTCCCAGCCTCCCCAAAGGTGAAGTGGAATATGCATATAACCCAGGAAACACTGCCTACGAGGCAAGTCTGTAGGGAAGGGTCATTTTTACATCTAAGTAACAAAATTTGAGGCTCCGGTGGCTCAAGTGGTTAAGACGCTGAACTGCAGACTGGAAGGTCAGTAGTTCAGCAGTTCGAGACCCGAGTGCCGCATGATGGAGTGAGCTCCCGTCTCTGGCCCCAGCTCCTGCCAACCTAGCAGTTCGAAAGCAAGAAACTGCAAGTAGATAAATAGGTACCACTTTGGTGGGAAGGTAACAGCTTTCCGTGCGCCTTGGCGTCTAGTCATGCCGGCCACACGACCACGGAAACGTCTTTGGACAGCGCTGGCTCTCCGGCTTGGAAACGGTGATGAGCACCGCATCCCTGGCGTCGGATTCGACTGGCTTTCGAGCAAGGGAAACCTTTACCTTACAAAGTTTAGGATTTATTCTCCTTGTCAGAGAGGACAACGCTTCACAAAGCAAGCCAAGATGCTTGTGGAATGGAAAGTTGGGGCATGGGAGTTCCATTCTCCAGATTTGAATATAAAAAAGATACACCAGTATATGTGATTGAACACTGTCAGTTCTACAACAGAGAGAAAACTTAAAACACAATCCCGAATACCTTCTTTAAGGTGTACTATGAGGCGTATGTCGTGACCTGGATGGCATAGGCCAGTTCAGTGTAGTGGTTAGGAGCATAGACTCCAATCTGGGAGATCCGGGTTTGATTCCCCACTCCTCCACATGCAGCTGCTGGTGTGACCTTGGGTCAGTCATGGCTCTCTCAGAGCTGTTCCCTAAAGAGCAGTTCTCTCAGAGCTCTCTCAGCCCCACCTACCTCACAGGGCGTCTGTTGTGGAGAGGGGAAGGGAATGGAGATTGTAAACTGTTCTGAAGCTCCAAGTGAAGGGCCAGGTATAAATCCAATCTCCTCTTCCTCCGCCTCTGATCTCGTCAGATCTCAGAAGCTATACAGATTGAGCCCTAGTTAGTATTTTGGATGGGAAACCACCACGGAGGTCCAGGGCCACTATACAAAACCACTTTTGAACATCTCTTGCCTTGAAAACCCTACAGGGTCACCATAAATTGGTTGCAACTTGACAGCAAAAAAGAAGTGTATGCTGTAAATCTGTATGCTGCAGATGGTGACTGCAGCCACGAAATTAAAAGACGCCTGCTCTTTGGGAGGAAAGCTATGGCAAACCTAGACAGCATAATAAAAAGAAGAGACATCACCCTGCCAACAAAAGTCTGCATAGTCAAAGTGATGGTATTCCCAGTAGTAATGTATGGCTCTAAGAGTTGGACCATAAGGAAGGCCGAGCACTGCAGAATAGATGTGTTTGAATTATGGTGCTTGAGAAGACTCTTAAGAGTCCCTTGGACTGCAAGATCAAATAAGGCAATCCTAAAGGAAATCAGACCTGACTGTTCCCTAGGACAAGATATTGAAGCTGTAGCTCAAATACTTTGGCCACCAAATGAGAAGGGAGCACTCACTGGAGAAGACCCTGATACTGGGAAAGATTGAAGGTCAAAGAAGAAGGGGACGGCAAAGGATGAGGTGGTTAGACAGTGTCATCGATGCAACGGACATGAAGTTGGGCGAACTCTGGAGGACAGCGGAAGACGGGAGGGCCTGGCGTGATGTGGTCCATGGGGTCACGAAGAGTCGGACTCAACTGTGCGACTCAACAACAACATGCTGTAAAGACTGAATGTGTGTTCACTGTAATTTAACAGGGCTTTTGATCAGACTGTAGGTCTATCAGGGTCTTTTCTGACTGACAGTGGCTCTCTGGTTGAAGCCTTTCACATCACCTACATCACAATCATTTTAAGTGGAGATGCCAGGGACTGAACTTGGGACTTTGTACATGTAAAGTAGATGCTTCATCACTGAGCAACAGCCCCTCCCAGAACAGCCTTCACACACTTCCAACATTCCTCACAGTGTGAGAGTGGGGTTGCAGTGGCAGCCAGGAACACCTATGCTTGTTGAATGGAAAAGATACTAGCAGGGAAACTGCAGAGTAAGCCACTCTGGCTGCTCTTGCATATAAAATCTCAGCCTGGCTAGATTCAAGCAATGTCCTGGCTGCCAGTCACGGCAATCTGGAACTTGCTGGTATCCTATCACTAATTTCTTCTCAAGCATTTCAAAAGGTAAGTGAAACTGCCCTTGGGAAAACCGGAACCAAGAAAGACTCCCACAGCAAGGACAAAGACATAAGAAATAGCTCAGGTTTTATTTACACACACACACACACAAATCTTGATAAATTTTCACAGATGATTCAAATTAGTTTCTTCTTAGCTGGGGGTGATCTTGTCCACATGCATGGTGGTTCCCCCTTTGCTGCATCCTCCATTCCCCCACCCCTAGATCTATAAAGTCCTATTAGCTCAACTGTGCTCAGAGCCAAACAAAAATTCTTCACATCAGGTGGGTGCAAAGGCAGGACAGGCAGGACTTTGGCACACACACTCCGCATCCTGCAGATCTGTATGACATATCTGCCAGAGAACCCAAGATCATTTGTAGCTGGAGTAATGCAGACAGAAGTTCTACTGAATCGAACATGTGGGAAAGAGCCCAATGTCCAGCAACCAGGATTTATACTAATCCCAGACAATCCAAAGGCTTCATATTGTCTGTCAATCCTACAGGCTGATATCTGCTTCTTTGCTGTATTTCTACTCCATTTTTTAAAATGGAGGCTTACCAGCTATGTGTTAGTTTTTAAACTGCTGTAAACCACTTTAGGGTATCAACAGAAATGTTAGTGAGGTCTTGGTACAGGCACAATGAAGGAATTCCTGGCTGCTGTCTTTTGTAGCTGGACTGAGGGTGCTCTTCGCTGAAACTGGAGCACCTGGTTGCTGCCTTCTTCTCCTTCCAGCCTTGCAGATGGCACTAGAGTTACATGTCCCCAGTTCTGTCTGTGCCTGAAAATCCTGGAGCTCAGATAGTCCGTAACAGTTCACTTGACTAGATCCCAGTCACAGGTCATGAGATTCTTAGTTCAGACCCTGGAATCCTGAACTGTTATTCTATTAGACACTTAAGACATTAGAGAAAACGCAGATGTAACCACCCTTATTCACAAGGACAGCAGTAGAAAGGATGCTTCTGGTTAGAAATCCATGCACATTTCAGACTTTGTAGCTGTAAATCTGGCGATTAGTTTTCTTGCAAGTGTCACGATTATTAGATGAATCATTCACCTTTGCAATTTCAGATTTTCTTATCTCTAACATTTTGCTTAGTGTCATGCGTGCCGCTTTGTCGGACATTGTTTTCTCTGTTGCACACGAACGCTTCCCCCAGACAAGTTTCACCACTGTACAAACTCTGATCAGATAATTTTCTTCATACCTTCCATCCATTCCCAACGTACATGCTCAGTCACTCACATCAATGTCACATGTTCACATATGTGCCCCCCACAGTTGGGTTCCCTGTGCAAATGTAATGTCTTCTGTGCAAATAGTCGAGAGTGAAGGGGTTGTATCTCTTCCAGGACTGATGATCCTGCCCTGGGCCACTCAGGTCGGTGGGGCTGTGTTAGTGCTGCTCCTGGTGAAAGAAAGAAAAATAGTACCAATGAGAAAGAAGCCTCAGACTGAATACACTGAATGAAGTTGAAAGCAAAGGATTAAACATGGGCAAAACTTTCATGTACGGTAGGCTCCCAGTGTTTATCCCTCCACTAAACATGCTACCACACTTCAGCCTCTTCAATACACATACATATGCTCTGCCTACAATACCTATCTCTCTAGGGCTGGTGAAGCAGGGCTAAAGCTAGCCAAAGATCCACGGTTCCAGTCTCATAGGTATTGTAGGCAGAGCTAGCCAAAGATCCACGGTTCCAGTCTCTCCAGTGTGTCTCCAGCCAAAAAATGGGAGATGGCTTCACAGGCTCTATGACATCACAGAAGGGGGCCAATCTCCCGTCCCCTGGTGGGAGAGGCAACAGAGAGAGCAGTGCCTCCATGTGGACGTGGAAAGCTGAGAGTCATGCTCTTACCAGATGCATCCCTTGCTAGCTGCAAATTAGAGACGGGACCTAGAAAGGCCTGCAAATCCAGCCTGCAAATCCAGTGGTCAGTGCTTCCTTTAAACTACATGTTATCAAGTCTTTGCGGCCTCTCACCTAGGTCCTGCTGACCAAATGTACCCTAGGAGTCAACACAGAGTACAAAGTTACGTGCTGTGCCCCCACTCAAGGCTGCCATAACTCCCAAGCATCCTCTCTCATTTATCACTGCCCAAATGACCGTTGCATCTTGCTCTTCTTCCTCAGACCTCAGCGTGGCGTACATGGAGTTACGCCATCTGTATTATCACAACCATCCTGGAAGGTGCCGATGCAAAACGGTAAACTGAGAGGTAAGGGATCTTTTGCTCTTCTGGTTCCTTCCCGGGCTCCTCCTTCCCTCTCCTCTGGATAGCTTTGCTTTGTCCCTCTGCTAATTGATCCCTTGATCCCACCTGCTAATCATTATCTGACTAGGCATTTCTGGATGCTTCTTGGCTAAGACTTGATGGTCTTCATACCTGTTGTAAGGCGGGGGAGGTGCGTCGTGCACACCTGAAGCTGCCATCGCTTGCTCGTAGGATGGAAGTCCGGGTGCGGTCTCTGGCTTTGGCGCCTCAGTGAAACAGGCTAGGGGTACCTCAGGGTAGCTGTTCTCCTGAGTCCTAATGAAGGAAATGGAGAATAATCAAGAAAGCTGGAATGTCCCACAAACTACTCCTGCCAGACTTTGGTTGTCTGCAAATCCAGCTAAAGAACTTTGGAAATAACTTCTGAACGGGTTTTTACCTGTCACTTGGAAAGCATATTTGGATCCAAAGGAATCATTTATATTAGGGACAGCTAATGATTTCAGCCCCAGGGAGTCAGAGCCTCTTGAAACTACACTCCTCGGAGCCAGAGTCCTCCAAGCCATGAGTTCACCGCTCGTTCACTTGTGCACCTTAACCAGGGAAGGTGCCTGGGACTCAACAATCCTCTCAGCACTAAAGGGGCACAGCCACTATGTCACTTACTTGAGTTGTTTGCCCCAGCTTGGAGGCTACAGGGAACCAGAGTTTACTCCATGCTTCCACAAAGACTCATGGTGCTTCTGTGTGCCTCTTAAGTTTTTCCGAAATCTGATTTGCTGTGATGGTTTGGGAGAGACTACTCCAAAATGGGGGTGGCCCCGTGAGGATGGAAAATCTGGATCTGCCCAATTCTACTTACATCAACGCCATTTTCCCTGCCCAATCCACCACAGCAGCCACCACCCTGGCATTGGAGGGCTTTAAAAAAACTGAGCAACCATCAGCCTTGTCAGGTTCTCTGAATTCCCAGCTTTCGGAAGTAAGTTTCTAGCCCCTTTCATTGCAGAGATGTAAGGGGAAAGGCAGATCTTAGCAATGAAAGTGGCTAGAGACTTGTGTTTTTGTTTTAAAGGAAAGCTGGGGATTTGAAGGACCTGACAAATAACATTACATCACTACAACATGTCAATTGCCAGTTTTCAAAAGCTTTCTGGTGGCAGGGGGAATGACTGGCATGGGGGAACCGGGGCTTGGAAAATGCAGGGAAACCTGCCTTGTGGAAGCCTCATTGCCACTGTGTTGTATCAGCAGCCACAGGGAAACCGCAGGACCTGTTGTGATGGACAGAAGGCTGTCCCGCCATTCATTTGAGCCAATGGGAGTGCTACTACTCAGGCATCCAATCCCCTTGGAGAAGGGGAGTGGAATGTTGGAGGGAGACACAGCAGGAGTGCCTCAGGGATTGAGCAGTGAGAGCTCAGGCCTGGCTCAGGAGAAGAGCAGACAGAGTGAAGGGCAGCTCTGCTTGGTACTATGGCAAAGTGGTTTGGCTCTACTTCTGACAGAGAACAGAACACCCAATTGTTAAGCTTGTCTCCGGCAATGAGCAGACCTTGTGCCATTTAGTCTCACTCTTGGGGAAAGGGCAGGCTGGTACGGGAGGAATCCTGTGCATGTGTTAGGATCCAACCTGGTGGGAAACCGGTAAAAGCCTGTTTACGCTGGAAAGTGCTACAGAAAATTGAAACTACTCTCTAAATTAATGTGCCTCAGCCAGGTCTCTCTTTTGTCTGTCTGGAGACTTGTGCCGCTGATCCATTCCTTGAAACCTACTTCTAAATAAATAAATCTTCTTTGTTGTTAATATATAATTCCTGCCTCAGTGAGCTCCATATTCTATTTGTGGACCACAAAATTTACCTCACAGCAGCAAACCCAAAGCCTAGATACTCACTACCTTTACAGCACCTGGTATCTGAGGGGAAGGTACATAGTTTAAAACAAACCTGGTTCCCCCAAAATCACAGGAGGCTGAGTGGGTTCTCTCAGTTGACAAAGACAGCTTGTCACACCTGTCTCTATGTGGAAAACACGTATCACTCAGCTTAACTTATCCCCCACAGTTGTTATGTGTATAAACTGAGATAGGGCAGGATGCAAACAAAATAATTTTTTCTCTCCAGAATACAGAATATCTGTACATGCAACAATGATAGCAGCCAAAGCAAAAAAGGTAATATTCCACCAGTGCAGTCATTATAAGATGGTATATTTATAAGGTACACGTTAGTGGTACACGTTAACAGCTGGTACACACAGTAAGGAAACGGTGACTGTACCTGTTGTTATGCCAATAAAGACGATTGGAATTAGACTGTACCTGTTAAGTAGATACAGGCTTGGTTCAAACATCAGTGTTTAATTAAACTGTGGTTACAACAATTGTCCAAACATGGGCTGCTCCACTAACTATAGCTAATTAGGGTATGTCAGGTGAGGATCTGAAACTATAGTTTGAAGTTGGTTTATTAACCACAATCTTAAAAAGATAATCTTTCATGTCCAAATGCAGACCCCCCTAGTTTGTTCCCCTGTGCTGTTCTCTCGGCAATGCAGGCTGGGATACCAGCCAGGTCTCGACAAAGGAAACAGCGAGGATGACAAAACCAGCATTTGTCGAGGTAATCTGACTGCTCTTCTGCAAAACCAATCCTAGTTTTACAAAATCCTGAGAGTCAAAATATACCATGACTTTGTGCAATGTCTGAACCTAGCCTCAGTTGGCATTTTCATACAATTTGTTTCACCAGCTGTTCCCAAAGAAGATGGAGATACAGCATTTTCGAGCCAGACACAGTCTGTCGCTTCTGATCTGGAAAGGACCCTCCCCCCCAACACACACACACACACACACACACACACACACAAATGGACACAGTCATAACTTCACCTAGTTACTTCTCCTTTAGACTGAAACATGTGGTCTCTTCCCTTTATTTCTTGCTAATAAAAAAGCTGTGTATCATCTTGCTTTTGCTGTACTGACTTGTACTTTTGTAATCCACTCTTCCCCTGACCTGGATAGCCCAATCTCGTCAGATCTTGGAAATTAATCTAGGTCAGCCCTGGCAAGTATTTGGATGGGAGACCTCCAAGGAATACCAGGATCATGACACAGAGGCAGGCAATGGCAAACCAGCTCTGAACGTCTCCTGCCTTGAAAACCCTCTGGGGGTTGTAGTGAGTCAGCTGTGAAACTGACAGTACTTTCCATTACCACAACCCACTCTCAGCGCTGTTTATGGCGCATCACATTTTAGACAGTGTTCCATTTGCATTGTTTCCTACTTTTTGAAATCCTAGTCCTATTGCATGGTTACTGGCAGTGCTCCCTCTAAGCTGTGGAGTCTTGTGAGCAAAAATTCTACTTTGTAAGCTACTGGCATTAAAGTTGTGAGCGAGCGCTTTGGGTCTGGCATAAACTAGTTTGCTCTGGAGCCATCCTTCCTGAGCTAAGAAAAAAAAAACACTGTGAGCTGGAGGCTAAAAAACGGTGAGCTAGCTCACACGAACTCAGCTTAGAGGGAACACTGGTTACTGGATGTTTTGTGCTGCCTGACTGAATTGTTGTCTATATTTCGTAACCCACCTTGAGTCTCCATAGGAAAAGCAGGCCACAAAGGAAGAAAATCAATCATTCAATAGCATCACACTGCAGGATGGAGTAAGCATCATCGAACCCTGAAGTGGATAGCCCAGGCTAGCCTGATCTTGTCAGGCCTCAGAAGCTAAGCGGGGTCGGCCCTGGCTAGTATTTGGATGGGAGACCTCCAAGGAATACCAGGTTCATGACGCAGAGGCAGGCAATGGCAAGCCAGCTCTGAACGTCTCTTGCCTTGAAAACCCCGTGGGGGTTGCCATAAGTCAGCTGCGACCGGACGGCAAAAAAATCCACAATGTCGTCTCGCATTATATATCAATATATGATCTTGGATGCAACAAGTACCAAAAGATTAGATAGGAGACAAATTAAGATGTTTCACCCTGCAAGGCATCTCAATCAGCTAGGTATAGGACCCTTCACTCTTCCAGTACCTCAATGAATGCCTCCTTTAGATTGTCCTCAAAAACGAGATATCATATTCTGCAACATTCTTCCTATCTGTGCTCTCTCCTATTATGCTTTCTCTACCTTGCATCTAAGCTACAAAGCTTCTCCCATCACCAAGCAGAGGCTATTCTTTATGTATTCTCTATGGTACCCTAGCACACGTGTGCTCAAGAGGGTTAATTGTGCAATGGCCTGGTCTGCACTTGCAGCAGAAGGAGGAAAATGCTGCGATGGTAGGATGGACGGCACCACTTCAGACTGCAGGCAGGGATTATGTTTAAAAAATCCATCTGCATTAAAAGAGAAAAACTCTTCTTCTAGCTACATAGCTGGCAAAGGTTTATTGTTGTTGTTCAGTCGCACAGTTGAGTCCGACTCTTCACGACCCCATGGACCAGCTCCCGCCAGGCCCTCCTGGTTTATTACCCCATTCCATCCAGTGTGTTCATTTTCTATATTTGGGGAGTTTTATCATCCTACAGAGCAGTCAAATGGGATATCTCCCCCCCCCCACAGCCTGAAGTGGTACATCTCAATCTACCACCTTAGTCTGCTCACATAAAATGAGGTGGAAGAAAACTGAGGTAACAGAATGGACTGTACCACTTCAGACTGCAAAGGGGGTGTGTGACTGGATATTCCCTTACAAAAAAAAATTGTAAGGCCTGGGTTATTACCCCACTCCATCCAGTGTGTTCGTTTTCTATATTTGAGGAGTTTTATCATACAATGCGGTGGCTCAAGTGGTTAAGACGCTGAACTGCAGGCTGTGGAAGGTTGGTAGTTCAGCAGTTCGAGACCCGGGTGCCGCATGATGGAGTGAGCTCCCATCTCTAGTTCCAGCTCCTGCCAACCTAGCAGTTCGAAAGCAAGAAATTGCAAGTAGATAAATAGGTACTACTTCGGTGGGAAGGTAACAGCGTTCCGTCCGCCTTGGTGTTTAGTCATGCCGGCCACATGACCACGGAAACGTCTTCGGACAGTGCTGGCTCTTCGGCTTTGAAATGGAGATGAGCGCCGCAACCCTAGAGTCGGATTCAACTGGCTTTCGAGCAAGGGAACCTTTATCTTTATCATACGACAGAGCAGTCAAATGTATCTCCCACCCCGCAGCCTGAATTGATACATCTCAATCTACCGCCTCAGTCTGCTCACATACCCAAAATGAGATGGAAGAAAACTGAGGTAACAAAATGGACTGTACCACTTCAGATCACAAAGGGTGTGTATGATTGGATATTCCCTTACAAAAAAAAGTTAAAGCTTCATGTAAGTAGAAAGCTAACATGGCAAGAACTTTTTAATTTCCCATCTTTGCATGCTGTGCTGGTTTTCTAGTTACAGGGAGTTTTTAAACACAGGAGAACATTCCAAAACGTGATGATCTCCCCAGAGCCTGAAGTGGTGGTGAAAACCATTCTACGACCTCTTTCTCTTCTACGTGTGAACTAGGCCTCGTTCTGTTGCCTGTGCAAACCAAGCCAATGCCTTTCTAACTCTAAGGCAAGAGTCACAGAACCCTCTCAGGTGCATCATGGGTATTTTTGGTGACCACCACTGTTGGTTTTCAATTCAGTTCAATTCCGACCTTTAATGGCATAACGTACATAATCAAGTATATACAGAAGGGAGGTTGTTGGTTTTGTTAAGGAAGTGGCACAAACACAATATGTTTATAAAGCTGCCTGAAAATCAATTTCACCTTCCCTCTCTGTTTTATACACACATTCCAGACAGCAGCTTCCTGGGGACCTTCATCCATACCTGGATCGGTTCCTCTGCTTCACTCGGTATTTGAAACAATACATAGCCACAATCACAAACATGACCGTCGAGACCAATGCTGCTATGAGACCTGCTATCAAACCAGCTACATCCACACCCGGCTGTCCTGAGGAGGGATTGAGACAGAGTAAATGTTTATTCATTATTTATTAGATTTTTTTTAGTTGCCACTCACCCGAAGAGTCTCGTGGCAACTTACAACATTAAAACCAATACGTTCAAAAACAACATACAAACAAGTAACAAATAAAAAATTAACATTAAAGTATTAAGATACGTGCTATCACCATACCACTATTAAAACAGCCGAAACATGTAGTTAGCACCAGCCTAAACAATTCAGCTTTGCATGCCCCGAGGAAACTAAACAAGTCCGGCAGGACATGGGTGTCCTCGGAGATAGTAGCGTCTGCCTGCCTCTGCAAAATGTTCCAATAGGAACTTCTGCTTAGGTGCCTTGGAAGGGATGTAGTTCAGTGGCAGAGCATTTGCTTTGCATGCAGAAGGTTCCAGGTTCAATCCACAGCATCTCCAGTTGAAAGAATCAGGTAGCAGAGGACACCCTACGTAAGGCCCTGGAAAACCACAATGCAGTCAGAGTAGACGATACTGAACTTGATAGACCAATGGGGATCTTTGCCTTAAGGGGGATATTGCTTCCATGATTCAGAGGGACCCAACAGATGAGATTAGGTTAGCCAGCTCTTCAAATAAAAGACATCTGGTGGTGAGGGCAGGTCTGGGGTTGCAAGAAGAGACCCAACCCTGCAGTGTGGACGCCTCTTCTTCCTGTTTTAAATGTACAGAGGCCAGTTGTGGTTCTTCAGGGATAAAGGGGGGAGACACTCTGCATGCTTAAAAGCACCTTCATCCGCATTATTACTTCCTATGTTCCAGAGCCAAAACCTGGTACTGAAAATAAGTTCTGGATCTAAAAGCTGATGGGCCACAGCTCAAATGAAACTGCAGCATGTCTGCCTTCTTAATTATTATAAAGACCGAGGGGGGAGATTCAAAGGGTTATGTGCACCAGGCTCTACCTGTGGTTTAATAACAAACAGGATTCTTTGCCACAGGGCATGAATTACAGGCTGAAATTGGTTGACAGAAATTGGTTGACTTTGAAACAGGTCCAGAGAGAATGACCATATCGCGTCTTGCAAAGAATTCTCTGGTCAAGAATGAGGGCAGTTAAGAGCACTTTTTGTAAAAGATTTTTTAAAAACCCTAAAAGTGGGTGGGGTTCCTTTGGTTCCCCCCCTCTCCAGATTTCATTCCCTCTCCCACAGAATAAAAGAATCTCAGGAAACAGAACAGGGTATGCAGGGAAGGGCATCAGGAAAATAGCCGCGAGGCTCAGCAGCCATTTTGTACCCTGACACTCACTTGCTCCTCCTCTCCCATTGTGTGCGTAGGTCTCCCAGAAGTCTTTCTGCAGAAGAAAAGGTGGAGAGAGAGAAAGAAACAGAGGAAGCAACGTTAACACGGCATGATGGGAAGGAACAACTTTAGCTCCATTTTGATGTTCAGGCCTTGAGCTCCGGGGGCAGCCACCAGATATTTGCCCTCACCGCTTGGTGGTTGCAAAAAACCCTGCCTGACCCACTCCTATACCCTCCACGGGAGCCTGATATGCAGAAAACTACATGTGAGGTATTCACATCTGCGGCTGACCGCTGCTGCTCCAACGGCTTTCAAGGGGACGACTAAGCAAGGGTCGTTCAAAAGGTGGTAGCGCAACACAAGAGGAATAGGGTCTCTTTCTCAGAAGAAGCCCACCCCCTTCTAACTTATTCAACCTAGTTATCCTTTAATGCAATCTAGGAATCCTAGCTTCTGGTCCTGACAACCCTCAGGAGAACCCATGACTGAGACCTGGATTGACCATCCTTCTAGCAACGTGCTCCTGCATCCTGCTTTTTCCTCCGAAGCGATTTCCCCTTGTAAAATGGAGCTTCTTCCCCCAAAAAATATACATACAATTGCAAACTTTCAGGTGGGTAGCCTTGGTCTGAAGCAGCAGAACAGAGTTTGAGTCCCGTGGTCCTCGCATAAAGAGAGATTGTGTATAGCGCCATCCTTTGGATCTGCACGATCACCATGTTGTGTGAATAAGGCAACATGGGTATTTCCCTGCTTCATTACATGTGATCGGAAAAAACCCACGACAACCGGTATTTGGGCTGCGGAAGCTTTATGGATTGTTGGTCAAGGTGTCAGTAATGTTGATTTGTGCATTCATAGTTATGTAAACGGGCTTTCTTACACTGACGGTTGCTCTGAGTTTTGGCTCTTAAATTATAAAAGGTGGAAGAGAAGGCAGCATGGTATAGCCTGATCTTGACAGATCTTGGAAGGTAAACAGGGTGGGTACTTGGATGGGAGAGCACCAAGGAAGATTCTGCAGAGGAAGGCAATGACAAAACACCTCTGCTTCTTATTTGCCTTGAAAGCCCCTTGCTGGGGGCACCATAAGTCGGTTGCGATTTGATGGCACTTTACTAAGGCTGCCAACCTCCAGGTAGAACCTGGAGATTTCCCGCTATTACAATTGATCTCCAGGCAACCTGGAGTTCAGTCCCCCTGGAGAAAATGGCTGATCTGGACAGTGAACTCCCCTTCCCAAAAGCCACTCTCTCCAGGCTCCACCCCCCAAAACTCCAGGTATTTCCCAACCCAGAGCTGACAACCTTACAACTTTACATACAAAATTATAAAAAGGTGTTCAGAAACATTATCCTCTCCAGCCAGGCTACACACCAGAGAGAGACAATCTCAATCTATGTGTGTCATGATAGTGACACCTCCCACTAACTTCCGAAGCCGAATCGATGTCTTGGCACCTTTAGGGCTGAGTCCGACGTAAGCGCGGGCTGTAAAGGCAGGACCATAGCTTATGAATCAGAGGTGCTTTCATCCGGAAATCCCCACCGCCTCTCACCGGGCCCTCCCTGGGCTCCCTCCCTAGTGCCGTTTCCTAGAAAGCCGCTTCTGCCCACGCCTTTGTGGCGGGCAAACCAATCCCCTTCCACGGAACCCAGGAATCCCTCGTCCCATGTGACCAGGCACGGCCGCTTCCCTAGGAATCCTGACTTTTATTTTCTTCCCTTGCAGTTCAAGCCCTGAACACTAGAGGGCAACAGCCCACGGGAAAAGACACTCTCTGCAGAAGCAATGCCTGATGTCTCCTGATGCACTTTTTTTATTGGACGCACACGGGGGAGAGAGCCTACTTTGTCATATGCATCAGATTCGACTTGTATCTCACGAAGTAAGCTACTGCTAATGACAGCACAGGTTGTTCTGTGTCTCAGTGGTAGAGTGCTTGCTTTTGCATGCAGAAGGTCTCAAATTCAATCCCTGGCAGTGGTTTGCCATTGCCTGGTTCCGAATCATGACCTGGTATTCCTTGGAGGTCTCCCACCCGAATACTAGCCAGGGCCGACTCTGCTTAGCTTCTGAGATCTAGCAAGGTCGGGCTATCCTGGGCTATCCAGCTCAGGGCTCAATCCCTGGTGAAAGGATCAGGAAGTAGGGGATTTGAAAGACCTCTGCCTGAAACCCTGGAAAGCCACTACCAGTCAAAATAGACAAGACTGACCCATTGACATACTATACATGACAAACCATACACGAGAAGATAGATTCAGGTGGATATCCGTATCGGTCTGAAGCAGCAGAGCAAAGTTTGAGTCCGGTGGCACCTTGAAGACCAACAAAATTTAATCCAAGGTATAAGCTTTTGTGTGCAAGCGTAGGTTATCTGAAGAAGTGTGCTTGCACAAGAAAGCTTATACCTTGAATTAAACTTTGTTGGTCTTAAGGGTGCCACTGGACTCAAACTTTGTTATACACGAGAAGGAAAGCTCACACCTTGAATAAAACTTTGTTGGTCTTAAAGGTGCCACTGGACTGAAACTGTGTTCTACTGTTTCAGACCAACGCAGCTACCCCACCTGAACTGGTTTCTACAGGCCGCTATCCTCAGACCCCACACATGAATACCAGTGAGAACTCAACAAAATCATGAAGAAAGTCCCAACATACATACAGGAACAAATTTATATGGATACACCCTGAGAACCTTGACCGGGCACTTTCTACCTCCTGCCAAAGATACATAAACCTGGAAACTCTGAATGTCCCATTGTCTCGTGCATAAGCACCATCACTGTAGAAGTATCAGGATACGTGGACTCCATCCTGAGACCATACCTTCTTAATACCCCCAGCTATATCTGTGATACCACAGACTTCCTGAGGAAACTGCAGTCCGCCAACCATCTCCCTGGAGCTGCGGTGGCTCAAGTGGTTAAGATGCTGAACTGCGGGCTGTGGAAGGTCAGTAGTTCAGCAGTTCGAGACCCGGGTGCCGCAAGATGGAGTGAGCTCCCGTCTCTAGTTCCAGCTCCTGCCAACCTAGCAGTTCGAAAGCAAGAAATTGCAAGTAGATAAATAGGTACCGCTTCGGTGGGAAGGTAACAGCGTTCCGTGCGCCTTGGTGTTTAGTCATGCCGGCCACATGACCACGGAAACGTCTTCGGACAGCGCTGGCTCTTCGGCTTGGAAACAAGAGATGAGCACCGCAACCCTAGAGTCGGATTCGACTGGCTTTCGAGCAAGGGAACCTTTACCTTTAACCATCTCCCAGAAAACAACATTCTAGCCACCATGGATGTTGAGTCTCTGTACACCGACATCCCCCATCAGGACGGACTACAAGCCATTAGAAACATCATCCCTGACAACACCACCTCTTGCCACTGAACTCTGCATGTTTGTTCTCACCCATAACTATTTCGGGCTTGGCGAGAACTTATACCTGCAAATCAATGGCACAGCCAAGGGCACCTGCACGGTTCCACAGTATGCCGACATTTTCATGGCAGATCTGGAACAGTGTTTTCTGAACTCCTACCCACTGGCACCTTACTTGAGATTCACTGATGACATTTGTATTGTCTGGACTCATGGCAAAAAAGCCCTCGAGAGATTTCACCAGGCTTTCCACAACTTCCACCCCCACTATGAATTACTCTGCACAAGAAATAAACTTACTGGACACCACAGTATGGATACACGAGGGACATGTAAGTACCACATTGTACCGGAAACCAACAGATCGGCAAACATATCTACATGCCTCCAGCTACCACCCCAACCATACCAGACAACCAACCCATTGTGTATAGCCAAGTACTGTGCTATAGTCACATAAGAACATAAGAGAAGCCATTGTTGGATCAGGCCAATGGCCCATAATCCAACTCTAGGGTTGCGGTGCTCATCTCCGTTTCAAAGCCGAAGAGCCAGCGCTGTCCGAAGACGTTTCCGTGGTCATGTGGCCGGCATGACTAAACACCAAGGCACATGGAACGCTGTTACCTTCCTACCGAAGTGGTACCTATTTATCGACTTGCAATTTCTTGCTTTTGAACTGCTAGGTTGGCAGGAGCTGGAACTAGAGATGGGAGCTCACTCCGTCATGCGGCACACTCAGGTCTTGAACTGCTGAACTACCGACCTTCCACAGCCTGCAGTTCAGCGTCTTAACCACTTCAGCCACCGCAGATCCTCTCCCTATCTATACCTTGTGGCTAATAGCTACCGATGGACCTCTGCTCCATATGAATTTGTCTGCTCCAACTCCTCAGACAGAGATACTCACTTGAAAGATCTGCAACAGACATTTTTGCAACTACAATATCCTCCTGAGATGGTGAGAAAGATTATTGGGAAAACCACGATGATCTCCAGGGACAGCCTGCTACAAGACAAGCCCAAAGAAAATGACAACAGAACACCACTGGTGGTCACCTACAGCTCACAACTCAAGCCAGTTCAACTTATTATTCGTGACCTATAACCCATGCTGGATAGTGACACTTCCCTCACACAGGCCCTGCCCCCCCCCCCGATCTTTTCTTGCTTACAGACAGCCTGCTAACCTAACACAACTTCTCACCCGCAATGATAAACTACTTAGCAGTAACATGGACTCTGGAACCAAGGCCTGCCAACAAACCAAGATGCCAACTTTGCTCTCATATAGATCCTAGCATCGCCATCAGTGGGCCCACTGCAACATCAACATAAGCCACACCATCTCAGGTTCAAACCCCGGCTCATCCTCTAATATGATTTATGCAATCACATGTCAGCAATGCCCTTCCACCCTCTACACTGGACAAACAATTAACAGGCATAAGTCTGACATCAGAAACCTCTCTGCATATTAAATGTAAAGGTAAAGGCTCCCTTGCTCGAAAGCCAGTCGAATCCGACTCTAGGGTTGCAGTGCTCATCTCCGTTTCAAAACCGAAGAGCCAGCGCTGTCCGAAGACGTTTCCGTGGTCATGTGGCCGGCATGACTAAACACCAAGGCTCACGGAATGCTGTTACCTTCCCACCAAAGTGGTACTTATTTATCTA